GGGCCTCCCACCCTCCCAGGCCTGGTTCCGGCTTCTGGTTGGGGGAGGGCCTGGGCGAGCCGGCCGGAGGGAAAAGTGAACTCCACCCTCCCGCTTTCTTCCCGGGCCGGACACCGCCCGTCGCCCTGTTCTCGATGGCACGTAGACGAGGCTGGCTTGAAAATTTTTGCTTGCTTTTTTTTTTTTTTCTTTCCCCGTATTGTTTTTGAGAAAAGGAAGTCTAGTTTCTTCAGTAACTCAGGATTCCCCCGAGAACTGGGATAGTTAACGGCCTCCAAGTCGATCTTATTCGGTGCGTGTTTGCACCGGTCACTTGGGTGACCTGGAAGTTAGGAACGGACTCGGTTGCTTGGACTTTGCAGGGTGTTTATAAAAATAGTCGTTTTCACACTTTCCGCCGAGAAAAGTTACTGGAATGCTAGCTGAAGGAGTGAGTGTGATGAAGACTGTCCATTGAACGTAGTGTGGTCATTTAAAAAAAGAAGAAGGAGCCTTCTCAAGGCATGAGACGTGGACGTAGCAGATCCAGCTCCCTGTGACTCGAGGCAATTCTTTTCATAACTGTTCGTGATGGTTTCAGGCCCTCGAGGGAGACAAGACTGGTCTTATGCAGTTTTCCCCCCTTTCGGTAGAAACAAGAATCTCAGTGTAATCGGAGCAAAATCGCGCGTCTCAGCGTTGCTTGTGTGGGTTCGTGTTAACGAGGAAGCTTGGAGATGTACTAGGGGCAGTTTCCTCAAACACGAGATGCAACTGGTACACTTTCGAGTTCGGTAGAACGCACAGCAAACTTCATGTCTTCCACGCTTGCAGTGACCACCGGTTTTCCTGAATTGCAGCCCCTGGACTCGATTGTTCAGTGTATTTGCCTCACTCTACATTGGGCATTTGGGATGTCCCTGTAACTAATTTAGCCAAACGGTCAGACAGCCTTTTTTTTTTTTTCCTCTTGGTGAACATGTCAGTCTGTGGGATTTGTCTCAAACAGGAAGTCTTACGAACACGGTTCAATGTATATAACTACACTTTGGGAGTTTCATTGGCTAGGATGTATGTGTTGCTTTCCTTTCACTTCCTGAAAAAAAAGTTTTATTTTTGTCACTTGGGACAGATAGTTTGATAATGAAAGCAGTTGAAGTTCTGTTTTGGAGCCAGGGTCTTTCTGTATTTTGCTCCTCGATGATGATTCTCCGGAGACAGTCTTGGTAGTGTTGGGTTTACAGGTGTGAGCCATCGGGCCTGCTTTAAGTGAAGGTTGGTTTTTGTTTTATTTTTTTTTGTGTGTGTGTGTGTTGTGAATTAACTAAACATAGCACTTTTCCTGGGGAAGGTTGAAAGTTATCTGAACTTCCTTTAAAAGTTAAAAATACTTTTGTGGACTGGGAAGTCCTGCCACATGCCTCGTTTCTTTTCTTTTTCTTTTTTTTTTTTACCCCCTTGGTAAGTTAAATTGCTGTATCACCGTCCTCTGTCATCCCAAAGCTTAGGGACCGTAGAGGAAGAAGGGAGACTATAAGAACCAGAGGTCAGGGACACTGGACAGAAACAGTATCATCTGGACTACACTTTCGAACTTAACAGCAGCTGTATAAAATCCTAGCCCGGGGCAGAGCGGGCCTGGGCTGAGTAGGAATGGACCCTTGATGGCTGGCTTCTGGGGGTGGGAGAGTGAGTTTTCCTTGTGGGTGTGGCCTTGGTAGATCCACCTAGCTCCAGTGGAGTGTATGGGCAGCACAGATTGGACTCAGGTGGGCTTTTAAGGGATGCAAAGCTGGAGGAGGTGGGAAGAGGAGTGGGGATGAATGTGATCAAAATACAGTGGAAGACATCCTCAAAAAATTAGTTTTTAAAAAGAGGCAAATTGTTGCTAATCCAGTACCAAACCACAGTGTTTGAAAATTTCTAGGACTGACTGAAACACACATGCAACAGGTACGCTAATATTAAGTTGATTTGATACTAACGGATCCTACTGTAGGTCTGCTTTCCCCCTGTGCTGGAGTTGGAATTTAGGGCCTTTTGCTTCCTGGCAAGTGCTGAACAGCTGAGATATGATTTAGCCTGTTACTGGCTTTAAAAAAAACAAAAAAGTT